GCACCCCCGCTTCGGTAGCCCGACGACCTGCACGCGAAGTCGAGCACTTTACGGTAGAACAGTTTAACGAGGACCAATACCGCACACCCTCGGTCCCTACGCAGACTGATCCAAGTGGTCACCCACCTGCACACTGACCGCAGCCAGTGATGCTTGACTTCGGTGATCAGTTGGGAACCGTGCCTTAACGATCAGTCCACTGCGGGAAGACGAAACTGTTATAAAAAACATTACACTTTATGCGTTCAGGCTTCTAGTAAGAGTACAAATTCTTCGGAAAAAGATATATTTAATCGTAGAAAGTATCGATTGGGAAATGGGTGAATCGATTGGAAATAAGATTCTTTATCATCGATGGTTGGATCTTCTAAACCAGCAGATATTTTTCAGTTACGAAAAGATATCAATTGTCTAATGGAGAAACCCTGACTTTTTTTTAAAAAAAAAAAAAACTCATAAACATGTGTGAATATACTGATCCAAAAAAAAAATTACAAATTAATTTAGAAACATTGTAAAAACAATAACAGTCATAAAATTAAGTTTTATGCTTGGTGAATTTCAATTCTTGTTGCTTTGGTGAATGTCCAGAATATTTGTTATATCTGATTTTATTTATTCGTTGATGTTATGATATATTATTAATTCAATATTGAGTTAAAAAGGTAGAGAAAACAAGGAAAAAGATAGTGGAGATATTTTAAAGTAAAAGAAGAAAATCGTTGAAAAATGTTTTTAAAAATTATTCACGAATTTAAAACATTTTAAGATTTAAAAAATTGGAAAATAAAGAAAAGGTGAAGTAGAAGACAGAAGAAAGGCAGTAAGTAGATAAATAAAGTAGTAGATGGATCATGGGTTAGAGTGCCCTTGCCATCAGGCTAACTGTGAGAGGTTTTCCTTTGAATGCAATGCAAATGCGGGTTAGTTCCATCAAAGAGTCTTCCACAAAGGCAAATTTCACCCCAATACTTGATCCAAGGGTTCCTTTGTCCACTGGATTGGGCATAAAATTACAAACCCAAAATTTGGTCGGCTGTTCAACGACAGTTATAAAACAAAAAGCAGGAAAGAAGCAACATTCTTGCTTATTTATTCCATCGCTGGGATTCAAACCAGGTTCACCTCATGGGAAGCCGAGTGCTCTATCCACCATGGCTCTTCCAGCATCATTTGGTCACCAAAATAGAACCGAGGTTCTATTTCTGTATTACATGCAAGTGATGCATGATTCACGAGATCCGTTTCAAAAAGAGTAATACAATAGATAAAGTGACTATGAATTAATGAAATCTATAACATTTCAAAGTTCAGAAGATAAATTATCAAAAAAAATATAATTACCATTCAAAATAAAGATACCATTCTGAAAAAATGCATAATGAATTAAAAATATAAACTGGGTATGATATACTCTAAAATGTGTTTAATATATATCGGCTTTAAGAAAAAAATAAACATACACACACAAATGAAATACTAAATCTTATTCCAATATTCATTTTAAAACAGATATTACATACATTTAATGCTAATCAAGTTGTGTCAGGACATTACGAATCGCATGAAATACTTAAAACACAGCGATCAAATATATAAATCATCAAAATTACAACATTTAAAAAAAAAATTTCACTTAAAACTGTGTCCCAATTTAAAGTTTAGCGCACTTTCTTTTAAAAAAAAATACAGGTAATACATGAAATAAAATTAAAATATAAGTCAAAAATACTTTATTTTTAAACTTCATAATATAAAGAGTCTTGATACCCAAGCTAGAGCTTGGATGAGTTTGTTTGGTTACAATCAATGCGTTACATTGATTGTTAGCACAATATCATAACTTTAGACTGAATTTGTTTTTTGCTTGCAGCTTACATAGCTTACACTTTTCCTGCATTGTGAATGCGAACTTGTTTCAATTTCTACTTTTTGTAGAATTTTCCTGCTATAAAAAGCATTCATACTATGACCTACAAACGTTTGTAATGTTATTGAGATTAAAAATTATCGCAAGTCTAAATGGCCGCTGTTTCTGACATCTGCCGGCAAAAAAGAGAAAGATTTCCCTTGATAGGTGAACTGAATAGTCTATGTTCTAAAACTATGTCCTGACTGTATCTCTGCCGAAACTTTGACTTTAATCGTAAAACAGATAGCAAGCATACGCTACGCTAGAATTTTTTTCCTCTCGTTTTCTGTCTCTGTGGTGACGCGTTATTTACATGCTGAAAGTGATTTAAAATTCTGTCATGTCTTCTGAATTACCGGCTAATGCACCCGTTCCCAGGGTTTGTCACTTGATTAAGTGGGCTGATTTTGACGGCTATGGATTTAATTTACACGCTGAAAAGTCCAGGACTGGTCAGTTTATCGGCAAAGTGGATGATGATAGTCCGGCTCAACATGCTGGTTTACGGGAGGGCGATCGTATTATCGAAGTCAATGGAGTAAACATTGCGAACGAAAATCACCGTCAAGTTGTTGAACGGATAAAATCCATTCCAAATGAAACCAAATTATTAGTTGTTGATGAAGAGGCCGATAAATGGTATAAAGAAAGAAAAATAGTGATTAAAAGCACGTTACCAAATGTTCAGTCTATGAAAACACCAATTCCCCGTCCTTACAAAGAGCCCCCTTGTTATGAAAATATATCCCCCTCTGCCAATGGAAATGATAAGAGTTCTGTTGGAAACGGTGTTCATCAGTATTCCCCTGAAACTGCTCCAAAATATGTAAGTACAGCTCCCCTTTAATATTTTCCATTTTACAAATTTTATATTTTTATTATTTTAAAAGTGAGATTGCTGCATAGATAATATTTGTTACTTGTACGGTTAAAATTTGTAACTACCATATCACTTTTTTTATTTTTACTATTAATTTCCTTAGGAAAATAAAGCTGTTAAAGTTTGCATGGTTTATATCCAAATAAAATAAACCCGTTTTTGATATGTTATTGTATGCTAATATGGCATTTTATGCATCAATTTTAAAATATGCACTCATAAAGGATTTGTAGGTACTCAAAGCTGCTGAAATAGCAGAAGAATTGAAATTCACTAATAAGCAAAACTAATTCAGAAACACTTTTAAAAAATTAACATTGGTTTCAGATCATTGTTACTAGATTCGAACCACCAAAAAATAATTTATAGTGGTCGCTCAGACCGGATATCACCTAATAGGATTGTATACTTTTTTCGTTAGCGGGTTATGTGTTGGTCCGTTTTTATTTATTTATTTGTCTCAAAGCAGCTTATTTCATTAAAATTGTGACTACAAGTTATCTGAATTGTAATTTTTCCTTTGAATTCATTATATTAACTGGGGAGATTTCTGTATGATGATGTGTGGCAAAATAATCAGCAAGTCTTGGCAACTTCTGGGCAGCGTCCCGCGAGAAACTAAAACAAAATCAGAAAGGGACCAATTTAAAAGATGTAACTCATAGCCACCTCCAGACAAACATCTACGTGTTTTTTTTTTTTTCAGTTTAAATTTGCAAGTTTAAAATCTATTTGGCACCTTGGCGATTGTAGTTGGCTCGGCAGATAACACTACGGAACTATCCCCTATTAACTTTTCTTTTAAATAATCTATTAGAAAACCTGAAAAAGAATCAGTAAAATTGCGTACAGCCCTGTAATATCTTTTTATTAATGATTCTTTGAAACAATGGTTAACGGATCGTTAAAATTGTGTACAGCCTTGTAAGATCTTTTAGCAACTGATACTTAAAAGCAATGATTAATAGATCAGTAAAATTGCATACAGCCTTATATTATCTTCTAGTAACTGGTTCTTTGAACCAATGATTAACCGATGAGTAAAATTGCATGCAGCCTTGTAATATCTTTTAGTAGGTAACTGGTTCTTTGAAACAATGTTTAAATTTTCTTGATTTAGTCTTAATTATATTAACCACTGAAATTAATTTTTTAAATTAAATGATCTTTTTCTTTTTTACATTAATAAAGAATGTTTACGGAACCAGTAGCAGAATTTATGAAGTTAATATATTGCAATTTTTTTCATAAAATTTTGTCAGTCGAATTTTTTTTTTCTGTGATCTCACCACAGCCATACAGAGATGTTTGTTGTAAAAACTCAGCTTAATCTGTAGCAAAATTTGTAAAAATAAGATCCGTATAAATGAAAAAATTTGTTTGTATAAAGTTAAGTTTATTTCTAAATAACGTTTCTAAATTGAAGTGGAATAAATTCCTTGCAGCTACAGTACAGAACCCGTTATCCGGAAATCAGAAAACCGGAAAACCAAAAAACCGGAACGAAATTCGATTAGTTTTCCCGTCATTTTTAAAAAAAATAATTTTTTTTTCGTCATAAGATTTTAGGATTTTTCGTTCTTTTTTGAAAGATGTTTACCTTACCATCATATTGGAAATAATCATTAGTGTATTACTTCACCGTTTTTTCTTTTTAAGATTATTTTCATTTTTTTTTTAGTTGGGTTTAACTATAAAAAAATGGCTTTTTGTAGCGATTCAGAAAACCGGAAAAATCAGTTATCCGGAATATCGATGGTCCCGATCATTCCGGATAATCCGTTCCCTACTGTATAATCGAGTAACACAAATAGTACTTTGGGATAATCCGTCGACCAAAAATACACGAATCCTTTGGTGTCATCATAATGAAACGCAATTTCCAAAATCATCATTCTAATGAAATTTATCAGATAATAATAAAATAATAGAAAAAAAATGAAAATGTAAAAATATGTGATAAAAAAGTGTCATCAAAAGAATCAGAACGAAGTATAAACATTTATTTTCTGTATAATTACCAGGGGTCTGTCTCAGGGTTGGCAAGATTTTGCCACAGGTGGAAAAAACCATGGTAAATACCGGTAAAAACCGTCCTGGCAAAAACAGGTTTTTGCCAAGCAAATTGGCAAAAAGTGGCAAAAACCTATATTTTCTAAGATGAGAGGACAAAAACACATTTTTGATACAAAATTATTCCTAAAATTGAAATATATACTATAAATATAAATAATTACAAAAAAATTAACAAAATTATTATTCCATAATTAAATGATAATGTAATAATATATCATTTTAGTAGTTTAAAACATTATTGATTGGAAAATTTGTGATTATTCTTTTTTTTCCAGTGAAATGAACTTATTTTAAATTAATATA